TTGGAGAACGTTCACACGCAGAAAGAAATCGTGCATTCTGCAGTCGTACATTTAGTCGAATGATACCATCTTCATCAATGACTGGGTTAAACTGGAGAAGTTTGCTCTTCATGCTGATCGGCTTATTCGTGCGAAGACAAGAAAGTTCATTATTAAAATGTGTGTGTTGAACGTACCTGAGCCACAGCTTCAATGCTTCTGTTCGTTCTCCTGCAGAACACCATGGAGCCGTTTTGTGGGTTTTTTTCATCACCGCCGCTATGAACCGTTGCATAAACGCGGTAACTGCTAACAATTTGTTAAGGTCTGAGTACTTAGAAAGGAGCGTGGCCAGAACCGACGGAGGTTGATGTGATGGCATTGTAGCCAACGACACCACAGTTGCTTCAGTCCTGGCTGGCCCGATGGAAGGTTGTGTGGGCCATTGATGAGAGTGACAACGAAGCCATTGCGGTCCGTCCCACCAAATAGAAAGCTCCTTAAGTTGCGATGGCATAAATCCCCGAGATGCTGCGTCCGCAGGGTTACTGGCGGTTGGTACATATTTCCAAGAGTCAACAGATGTGATTGCCTGGATTTTACTTATGCGATTACTGACATATTGTTTGTATTTTCCAGGATTTGATCGGATCCAGCTGAGAACTGTTTTTGAATCAGACCAACAGTATGTTTGAAGGTATGGTAGTTGAAGTGTTTCCGAAAGCTTGGTCGCAAGCTGGGCTGCCAGCAGAGCTCCATTTAGTTCTAAACAGGGAATTGTTATTTTCTTCAAGGGGGCGATTTTTGTCTTCGCAGCAAAAATGGCAACATGTACGTTTCTCGGCGCTGTGTCGAACCTGAGATATGCTACCGCAGCATATGCTATGGCGGACGCATCGGAAAAGACATGCAGTTGGTAACCTCTAGAGTTAGGTTCTACACCGAGCCACCTTGGAATTCTAAGACGCTCAACTTCACCTAGCTCCTTTCGAAACCGTTGCCATTCTTGCTGAAGTGGTTCGGGAATTGGGTCATCCCAGTTTAAACCGGCCACCCACAACTTCCGACACATAGCTTTTCCAGTTAAAGTTATCGGCGCTAGTAACTCTGGAGGATCGTAAATTTTACCGATGTCTGATAATTGCTGCCATTTGGTGATTTGGGTTGTTAATGGACTCAAGCTAACCTTATATGTCAAAGAGTCTGAATCACAGAGCCAATAAATGCCAAGAGCTTTAGTTGTACGGTCCAGGTTGAGGTTGCAACAAATAGTATTCTCTTTGTCATCTGCACTTAACCGCTGCATGAAGTCTTCAGCGTTTGAGCTCCACTTTCGTAGGACGAAACCACCTCTTTGGAGTAACTGTCGCAGTTGGTACTGGATTTCCAAAGCAGCATCGACGGAGTCAGCTCCATGCAAACAGTCGTCTACGTAAAATGATTCTCGCAAGACCTTAGACGCCTCAGGATAAGTTGACTCTTCATCATCAGCTAATGTTTGCACTTTAATTGCAAGATATCGTGAGCAATTTAAACCGTACGTGACTGTTAGCAATCGATAGGCTGCTGGCTCTCCTTCTGTACCTCTCCATATAATACGCTGCATGTCAGCGTCATCACGGCTGACCAGAATCTGCCGATAACACTTTTCTATATCTGCCATGAAACCAATGCGGTGAAGCCGCCATCGAATAATTATTTGGCTTAAATCGCTTTGCAGTTTTGGGCCAACATGAAGACAGTCGTTTAGTGAGATGTTTTCTAAAGTTTTACGGGATGCATTGAAAACTGTGCGCAATTTGGTGGTTGAGCTCGATTCCTTGTACACCCCATGATGCGGAATATAGCAAACAGTTCTCGGCTCCTCGTTTTCAATTACCTTCTCCATGTGCCCTAAAGCCAGGTACTCTGTCATGAACGTGGTGTACAAATGATCCATTTCAGGGTCATTTCGAAGCCTAGCTTGTTGAGACCGAAACAGTTTAATTGCGTCAGCTTTCTAGTTGGATAATTTTGTAAGATCACAATCGGCTTTAAACGGATATCGAATTTGATACCGCCCTGAGCTAGTTCGCTGAACAGTGTCTTTAAAAAACTCTTCGCAGAATAATTCGTCTTGTGTCATTTTAGATGGAGGTAGTATCTCATCAAATTCATGAAATTTCCACATCTGCTGAACTAAGCTGCTCAGGTCATCAGTGGTTGTTGCCGTGAAATGTGTTGTACATAGTTGGGGAGATGCAGAGCAGGGTATGCGTCCGAAGATAACCCAGCCAAGATACGTATTTTGTGCTATGGCCGAACCGCAGGCAGTGTGCTTGATCCCACCTTTTACTAAGAGACCGTAGAGGTCTGCGCCAATGATGACGTCAATTGAGCAAGGCTCGTAGAAATTAGGATCTGCTAGTGTGAGATCTAGAAGGTCGATATAGGGCTTTGGATTGACTCTCTTCAAAGGTAGGAGATTTCCCAACCTTGGTAGGATGAGCGCAGAACAATTGACACTAGACTCTGGGTCTGTAAATGAACGTAGAGTGTATGTGACTATACCCTTTGAGTCACCAACGCTGTGACCGCCAAGACCGGTGATAGGAATTTGCAACCGGTTCCTACGAAGTCTTAATTGTTGAGCGGCATACTCGCTTATGAAGGATGCTTGCGAACCATTGTCGAGTAATGCTCGAAGTTTTATGTACTGTCCAGTCGAGGACTGCGCTTTAATATAAGCCGTAGCCAGCAAAACAGCTGGAAGGCAGGTTTCAGCATAGCTCGTGAGTCGGTTAACGCTGTGGTCTGGACACGTATGAAGTGCAGCGACGCTACTACGTTGAAGCGATAAGCTATCGTGAAGAAGTGTGTGGTGCTTCTGCGAACACCTCAGGCAGGTGTATGAGGATTGACACTCGTTTGTAGAGTGATTTGCTTTTAGGCAATTTTGACATAGTTTGAACTTTAAAGTTAGTTCAAGCTTTGTTGCTGGTTCTTTCCTTTTAAACTTAGCGCAATACATTAACGCATGCTTACCTGAGCAACATAGGCAACGACCTACATTGGTCTGATGACTGCGAATGGAAGTCAGAGCTGTTGACTTATTATTAGATGACGGTTCTTTAGTTTTGGGTTTGGAAGCCGACGAAGCTGCTTCTATGCCCTGAATACGTTTTTCCAAAAACTGCACCAGAGTTGTATATTCTGGTAACACATTCGGAGATTCCAAAGACATTTCCCACTCTTTTACTGTCGCTGGGTCTAACTTCTCGGTTACAAGTAGAACAAGCCAATCATCCCAGTGTTCTGTTGGCCGTCCTAGTTGCTTTAATGCGCGGACTGATTCTGTGGTAGTATCCAAAAGTTTTCGCATGGCGCTATCTGACTCATTGGTTATCGCCGGAAGTTTCGTGATATTGCGCAGATAAGACTTGACAAGGCGTCGCTTATTGTCATAACGTTGTTGGAGCATATCCCAGGCTATAGCAAAATTGTTTTCCTGGATACTAATACTGCGAAGAAGAGTTTCGGCTTCACCTAGTAAACTGCCTTTTAAGTAATGCAGACGTTGTACATCAGACAAACAAGCTTCATTTATAACGCATGTTGTAAACATATCTTTAAAACTTAACCATTTTTGAAACGAGCCATCGAATTTTGGCAGAATAATCTTCGGAAGCTTTGACGCTGATGTATTTGTAGAACCACCGCATGTATGATTGAGTATGGTTGCTGGATGATTTTCACTACGATGATTGTCAAATTCTTCGATTTCATCATGTATTTCACCTAGTGCTTCGCAGTATGCCGATTCTATTGTTGCCAAACGAGCTTCACTTAATGTCGTCTTAACCTTGTCCTCTTCGCCTTCAATAACGTCTGCTGCAGAAATGTCGTCACGGAAGTCATTGTAGCGCTTCCAATAATCAGCCAGTAGATTCCTTCTGGCCACAAGATAGCCCTTAGTTCTTTTTTGTTTTGAGACCTTTCTAGTGTTTGCCGCAAAATTAAGAATTAATCGAGCAAGACCTTCTTCCTTTTCAGCTGACATGATGGCGAACACGTGATCAGGTAGATTCCGTGATGTAATTCGTATTAATAGTTCATATTAATTGCTTAACACAATTAAACAATTGGCTAGAGACGGTTCCCCGCAAGGGATGCCAAAAATGTTAGATTTGTTTATATAATGCAATTTTTATTAAGTAAACTTCAAGTCGAAATACATTACAGCCTAGAATACCACGATCGTAAAAAAGTTTATTCAGTTCTAGCTCTAACCACTTAAAAAAAACTTTGTACTCGGGATCAATCGTGTGACATATGTACATATGTACTAACATACAACCGCGATCGACAAGCCAATCAGCGACTACCAGCGCATTAAAAAGCTCGCACGAAGAGTATGCACAAAGCGTGGACAACGATGACAAGTGCACTCTCGTCACATATGTTTATTGGGGTTGCTGTGCAGTTGAAGCCTCTGAGTTGCATTTATCTTTAACATTCCGCCCACCTCGTCCATCTTGTGCGACGACATGTTCAGGGGAGAACCGCCCACCGTGTGAATCAATGTCAGGATCGATTGGCAAAGCTACCAGCTTGGAAATGGCTCGCTTCAATGTTGACGTTGCAGTACGTATAGTGGCCACCCTCACAATCCCATCATTTCCTGGGTGTATGTCCACAACTCGACCGAGGGGCCACTGCAAAGGGGGAGCGAGTTCATCGCGAAGTAAAACTAAATCGCTAATTTTCAAGTTCTGGTGGGTCTGTTTCCATTTGTATCTCATTTGTAAATGTGGCAGATACTCATTGCTCCAACGTTTCCAAACATCCTGCTGTATTTGCTGCAACAGTTTCCAACGCTTGAGTCGATTGGTGCTGACTTCGAGTAGGTTGGGTTCCGGTATTGCGATAAGTGGACCGCCCACTAAAAAGTGGCCGGGAGTGAGCGCAGTTAAGTCACTTGGGTCATCCGTCAAGGCACTTAATGGCCTTGAGTTTAGCGCTGCCTCCACTTGCTTGAGTACAGTGAAAAACTCTTCAAAAGTTAGTGTTGCACGTCCGATGACGCGTTTTAAATGGTGCTTTGCCCCTTTTATTCCGGCTTCCCATATGCCGCCGAAATTTGGAGAGCCTGGCGGTACGAAATGCCAGGTAATACCCCTGACTGATGCAAATCGAGCTGCCGCTTCCAACTGCTGTTTGCAGGCTGCAAGGTCAGCCTTTAGTTCTGAATTCGCACCCACAAATGTAGAAGCACAATCGCTGTATATATGAGAGCTGTATCCTCTTTTTGGAAACAAACCGCCTCAGCGCAGCCAGGAAGGCATCTGTGCTTAGGTCGCTGACGAGTTCTAAGTGAGCAGCACGAGTAACAAAACAGACAAATAGTGCGATGTACCCTTTATAGCTTCGATAACCTCTACCTTTTGTAGTGCGAATATAGTAAGGTCCACCGTA